ATATAAGCCAGAGCCCGCAACAATAAAACAGCAGTTACCTGTTACCCACAAGAGCATCTCCTGTCTCATTGGGGGGGCTGCGCCGGTCACAAAACAATTTTCAGTTCACGTGGTAATGTGTGCCAGTATTCCCCAGCACTTGGGAGGCTGAGGCAAGATATTTACCATGAGTTCAAATCCTTCCTGAGCTACACAAGTGAGTTCAAGCTCAGCCTAATCTACATAGCAAACCCACTTTTAAAAAATTAAAATTTAAAAATTTTTATCAAAGGATTATTGCATGTATTTTTTATAATTCTGTATTTTAAGTCATAGTTAGGAGAATATTTTTCTCAATGCTTTTCTCTGAAGATTTTTTGTCTTTATTTTTCTTTATCTCCATCTCTCAGTGCTTTGATTTTGGTCAGGATATATAATGCCAGTACAAATTCAGTTTTAACTTTTTCCTACTTTCAATCCATTTTCCAAGTTTAAAGCACAGTCTTTACTGTCTTGCAGAGACCAAGAAAGCTCGTTCCATCTGCTGCTTCCCCTCCCCTTCTCCCTTCAAATCCAACTAGGTTAAGTTTTAACTTCCTAAAGGCCATAAAACAAAGGCCTGAGGTAATAGCTCCTGATATCCTGGGTCTTCCCTATCCAGAAGCCCCATCACAAATTGTGTTAATTGCATCAGATTGTATTAGATTGTACATTCTTCACAAAAATAGCTTCGTTTATATCATAGTAATACCTGTAACTGTAAACGTGTGTCTTCCTTTTTCTCTGGGTAAAAGATTGATATGTTAATCAATGCTCTCTTCTGTAAAGAATTGTAAAACCTTACCCAATTGATATGCTAACCATTGTTGCTAAAGTAAGGTAATTAAGGTTGTTAATTGCTGTTAGACTTTTCTATTCAGGAGGCCTTGTGGTGCGAGTTTTAAAACTATGTGCAGCTCCACCCCCACAGGAACCAGTGTTCTTAAACAGTTAAGACAAACAGTCTTAATCTAAGACAGATCTCTCAGTCATGAGACAAACGCCCATTCCTAAAAAAATGCCACCCCTTCTAAGGAGACACTCCCTTGCCCCACTAAAAAACCCAATCCCTTAAGGACAGCTCACCATCAGCTCTGCTCTAATCGCTATGATTGGCTTCTGTAACAATGCTTGCTTGCTTTGCGGTTTTAGGCCTTAAAAGGCACAGCCCTGCTCGAGTAAGCGGTTCTCCGTTTCCACCTGTTTGGAGGACCCCGTGTACACGGAATAATAAAAACCCCTTTTGTTTTTACATGAGAGCGAGGCCCTTGGAGTCTTCCTCGCGACACCGGTCTAACAGTCTGACTTGTGGTTTTAGCCACTGATTTAAGTACAGTGCAATAAAGTATGTAAAACACCACTTATACATTCATTTATATTTGTACTTAGGTCGATTTTGAGGAGTTTTTGTTTTTGTGTCTGAGACAGGGTCTCCATATGCTGTTCAGGTTGGTCATAAACTCACTGTGTAGTGCAAGATGTGTGTCAACTCATAACAATCCTCCTCCTCGGTCTCCTGAGTGCTGGGATTACAGACATGTGCCACCATGCCTGGATCTAGGATTTCTTTTTAACTTTACTTTATCTAATGGTGCACCAAGAGCATCATAATGTTTTCATTCTGGAGGGCTTATAATATATTTTGGGGCTAGCTGAACTACACTGATTTTATATTTCAGAGTTTTACTAGCTACATTTACTATTTCATTTTTCTATGTAATCTGTTATGGTTTCAACATTCATATTAAAACTCATTAAAATTTAATTTCCTTTGGAAATATTAAATACTTGGTAGTGGAAATGTCTTTAAGAGGGGATTAAGTCAGGAATGGAACAATTCTGTCATAGGTTAATGGTTTACTGAGTCTGTCAAATGGAACTCTTAGAAAAGCCACTTTGGCTCAGTGTTTGTATGCACCTCTGTCCTCTTCACTCTGCCATGAGGCTTTGCAGAGTATCTCCACCAGGAAGATGGTGATCTGCTCACCAGATGGGGCCCCTTGACCTTGAACTGCTGGAACCTAGGCCTGAATAAAACTTTATTCATTGCAAATTATCCATTCTGAGGCTCGCAGTTATAGTAATAGAACATACATTATTACATGGGGCATGTAAATGAATTTCTTCACCTCCAGAAAATAATTAAATCGCTAGACTTTTGGAATCACATTTCGTTGGGTTGGACTTTATTCTGTTTTGTTTTGTTTGATTTTATTATATCCAATGGCATGGGCAGCTATTTCAAAGATAACAAGATATGGTATGGTAGTCATTTTGGATTTACTATTATCTTGTTTTGAAGTCCTTTATTGCATTCATTGTTTTTATTCTTTTTTTTTTTTTTTTTTTTTTTTGTCTTCTTCCTTTTTATCGGTACCTGGGATTGAACTCAGGACTGCCTGCTTGCAAGGCAGGCGCTTATGCCGCTGAGCTAAATCCCCAGCCCCACTGTTCTATTTAATTTTTACTATGTCTAATGGTATCTGCAGCTATTTTGAAGACAGAGGCATTATGATAATCATTGTTGATTTCCTATTGTTCTGAAGTCCTGTGTCACTTACACTGGTTTATTTCGATTGCTTTATTGTGTTTTATGTTGCTTGGTTTTATTCTCTTTAAAATAAAAAGAGAGACAGAAGCAACTCCCCAAAGCCAAGAGTAAACTCTTCTAAAATGCAGGCTAAGACAGGTCAGCATCTTGAGAGACAAACCTGTGCACAAGCTCTGGGTTACAGTCTCCCTTTGAGCAGCTCTCACATTGTTAATGATTCACTTCTGCGGTCCCTCTCTGCTCAGGGGGTGGGCAATTGAGTAGGAGCCAATCAGTGTCGAGGGGCGGGATGAGCTGACCAATCAGGCGGCCCCAGGAGGTGGGCTTTGTTTTTCGACTCCGAAGCCTGACTGCTGGGAACAGTGTTGAGTGCTGCTCCAACTGGGCAGACCGCCTAGTTTTAGGACTTCTGCAGGCTGCAGGCTGCGTGGGAAGCCCCAGGGGAGACCCTCCGGCCACGAGATGATGAGGATACAGGACGGGTGACCCAACACGGGACGGGCGGGAGGGCTGAGGTCTGGGCGGAAGCGCTGGGACCAGCCCTGGCGGACTGAAGCTCCCTGCAGCTCCCCAATTCGGGTTTCTTGGGCCCTGTGCAGCGCACGCTGTGACCCTTGGGCCCCTCCTCCAGCGGGGCTGTTTCGGGTCCCCCGCACCCTGTCTCTGCACAGCCACGCCACTGGGCTGAAGCGCAGTCTCAGGCAGTCGCAGCCCACAGCTGCATCTCCACCTGTGCAGAGGGAATTGGGAGACTGATTGAGGAGGGGAGGCCGGCTCAGAGGTGTGGTGTGCAGGATCCGTGGTCTCCTTGTGTCTTCAGCACATTAGGAGGACCTCGACTCTGTGAGTGTCCGTGATACAGAGCCCCAGAGCCACACCTCTCTTCTCTGGCCAGTGCTGTTTTTGAAGAGAGCAAATTGCCAAAACTGCAATATGTGCTCACTTTCCAATCTCAGGATAAGTGAGGATTAATGCCATGAGAATTGAAAGAAATGATCGCCAGGCCTGGAGGTGTATACCTGTAATCCTAGCACTCATTGGAGTCTAGCCTGGAGTACCTAGTGAGTTCAGTGCCGGCCTGAGCGCCATAGTGAGACTTGAGTTGAACAAAAACAAGAAAAAATGAAAGAAAGGAAAGGGGGGGGGGCGAGGAGGGAAAGAGAGAAGGGAAGGAAAGGAAGAAAAATTTAACTTTGCTGGCATTGTGAGTCAGCGGTGGAGCACCTGTCAGGCATGCAGTGAGCTCCTGTGTCACATACACAGCAACGTAAAAACAATTATCGACCTAACAACTTAGGTGTTTAGAATGCTGAGACAAATGAAAGGGGTGGTAATGTGTTAGCAAGGGCAGGACAAAGTGTCCCTGCTTCAGGCTTCTTCCAGAAGGGGCTCCTATTACACACAGTGTGAGAATCCGGAGCATATACATGGGCAATGTGACTGGATGGGCGTGGGAAAGGAGAGGTTCGTCCCTAAATTAATTGCTATAGACCTTGCATTGTAGACACTGTTGTAAGAATTGAAATGCTGATCGAGGAAGACGATATATTAAAGGAATATTGTAGCAGGAGTAAAGCCTGACATGGGAGCTTTGCAGCCTGAGTGGTTAGTGATAAAAGATAAAAAGGATAAATAAAAGAGCTTTTGGTGCAGGGAGGAGCAAATGGAAGAGCAAAAGTGGGAGGAGAGGAGGCAATGGTGATGGCACTAAGACGCACATCTACAACAGAGAGGGTCTTCCTCTGAGGTAAGATTGCTGTTTGAAAATAAATGATTTTTGTATGTTGCCACAGTCTGAGAATGGGTCAAATATCACAGGCATTAAGGAAGAAAACTTAGTAAAATTTAGATAAATATGCCTTCTACTACTGATCTCACAAGCTAATCTCTTGTTATTCTGAAACGGGGTGCTTCTGTGTATTTTAGGCTGCCCTTGAACTTACTATGTAGACCAGGTTGATCTCCAGCTGTGGCAATCCAGCTGACTCTGCTCCAGAGTCCCGAGACTAGCGGTGTGTTCCAGCACCTTTGTCCATAATTGTTTTTGAGGAAAAAATGGAAATTAGGAAACTGTGAGCTTGTGTGGCTTCAAAATTGATGGCTATCATCTAAGTGAGATGGAGAGGGATTTCTCAAGGACTTGGTGGATTTTAGGTGTAGTTGACGTTTTTATTATATAGAAGATTGAACTTTGGACTTTTTCTCCGGAATACATTCTCCACCTTTTAATATTTTTAAAGTTTTGAGAAACCTCACCGTGTTACCCAGTTTCCAGTATACACTTGATCTTGCTTCAGCCTCCTGGAATGCTGAAATGACAGGCATGTGCCACCATACCTGGCTGCCATGTGGATTTGGTAATCACTATTATTTGTTGTACCCCCCAAACAAGCCCCGTGATGTTGTCTGTTGTCAAGAAGGGGGCAAGACATCTTTTAAAAGAAGCGCTTTTATTTAAGCTGGTACCAGCGGCATAGTGCAGATACAGTTTGCAAGGCTGTGCAAAGACAGAATTTTGACAGATTTTTATAGCTCACTTAGGATTAGCTCATTGACCACTAAGTTCATAGCAATGAGAAACAGAAACAAGGTGGGCCTTTGTTCCCCTTTGCTCGAGGTCAGAGGCATTTCACAGTGAGTGGTTAGCCAGTTCATAGCCCTTGGTCTGCCAGTTCCAGGAACATTTGTCTCTCACAAAGGGAACAGTGGTTGACACAGCATCATTTGTCTCTCTCAAAGGGAACAAAGGCTGACATAGCAAACAGGTTACTGGGGGGGGAGTATGATGCATACAGAGCAGCATGACAACAACAGGGTCAGTTAATCTATAACTATGTGGTTGGTGCTTCAATTGCGTGGTTACTAGGGTAATAAACATAGCACAGAATGACAGTTCTGCTAATAACTATCTTTTTAACTAACTAGTTTTGCTAATAACTATTTTTTTAACTTTACATTTTAGTTTTTAGCATTTTAGTACAACATTAATATCCATGGTTGGTGTGCTTGGTTAAATGAAACTGCAGTGAGGCATGGCACTGCCCACCTTTCCTCTCGGCCACGTGGGAGACTGAGGCACGATTATTGTAATAGCAAGGCCAGGCTGGACAATGGAGTGAGACCCAGACCAACAGTGTCTCCTGTCAAAAGTAACTGTGTACTATGTGCAAGGCCCTGAGTTCAGCCCAGCACTGAAGTAGAAAAGAAAATGTGATAAGTACTCAGTGAAAAATTTACTTTGATTTGGAATTTTGCACTATTTGCACACCAGTGGTTTGTTGTACAAAACTTGCTCAAGATGCTAGACAGCAGCAGTGAGTCCCTGCTCTGTTAGTGACGGGACACCAAGTGACAACATCCAGGGGTTTACCGGGCAGCATACTCACTAAGTTCCATGAAATATTTAATGTGTGTTACATAGTTTTTCTTGGACACAGCTTAATATAATTTGTATTTATCAGTTTTAAAGGAGGCAAGGCCTAGCTTTGTTTGCTAGATTATGTATATTCAATACATTATATTTTGAACGCCTGTAGGTTGATCAGTACGTTTTCCCTTAGTGACTCAACCGGAATGTGTAGAGTCAATCGCTTCTCAGCCTTTTGGGCTGAGATCAGCTGTAGAAAGTGGCGACTTACTCATCAGTGCTTCTCTGCAGACTATGAGATTTATCTGGTAGTGTCCCATGCTGAGTACTATATTAATCAGGTTATCCCAAGAAACTGGACTGGGATACATTACATGTCGTATTTTTGATAACAAACAGGCACGAAGCAAGATTGTGGGTCTTAGTTTCTGGTTTGGACTTGTTTTGGTTCGATTTCATTGTTTCTTTATTTGTGTTAGTACTGCAGAAAGCTGCACCACTCTGGTCAAGTGTCTCGCTTGTTCACAAGGACAAGGGAAAGGGTAGAAACTGTCAGTGATCAGACACAAGGCTCTGACCACAAGACATAACGCTGAAGAGAAAACACTTCCATTCCTAGTTTATTTTATGCTAATTGGAGGAATCATTCCTTCTGCCGTACTCTTGGAGAAAGTGCTTGGCTTTCTACTTCACCCTTTTGTTTTCCCACAGCCTCTTCCTTCCTTATTAGGCTGATCTCCTCTGCCTGCAACCTCTGGGTCACTTCCCAGGCTTGGGGCTCTTTTTCCTTTGCACTGACTTACATCTCTCTAGGGGTAGCAATGACCTCAACCATTTGGTTTGTGTTCCATGTGTCTGGAGTCTGCAGTCCACGAAACCACCTGAGTTCTCTGAATTGCACACACTCTCTGGACACCTCTCTTATATGCTCATCTCGGAGAAGCCTGTGGGAATGGCCTCCGCAGCAGGTAAAGCTAAGATAAAGTAGAGAGCTTCAGTTCACCCCTCAGTCTGGCCCCTGCACACCCAGTGTGTGTTGCCACAGAACAGCAAGCTGTGGAGACCCTTGTGGGTTTCCGCTTTAGTAGAATCTGTAAGGCAGTGGGCCAGTGGTGGGAGAGGCGCAGAAAAAGCACCAAGCATGTTGGAGCATCCCTGTCATCCTAGCACTTGGGAGGCTGACTCAAAATAATTGTCTTGAGTCAAGGTCAACTAGGACTACATGGTGAGAATCTCAGAGGAGAGACTGAGAGCGTGAGTGTGGGTGTTCAAGTATAAACTGAGTTCTTTTGTCACTCAGCTTGAGTTATAATGCAGAGTTAGGAAAATGCCATCTCCTGGGGTCATTTTGCCCTCTGAGTGTGCCCTGTTATCCAGGAGCTTGCGTGTCCATTACACCTGCCAGGTCCGAGGTTCGGCCTCTGGTGATTCCACCCGAGAGAGCCCGTGGAGGCCACGGAGCATCTCATTTGCCTTTCTGCAGTGGTGGGAAGCAGGGTTTTCAAGTTCCTTAGTGATGTAGATGCACTAGAAACCTTTGTTTTCCTGCTGCCTTGGAAACTGATCAGAGAAAACCCCACTGAGGCTCAGGAGCTTGTTAACACAGAGGTCTCAACTTAAAATCTAACGTACACTCCACACCACACCACCAGGGACAGTGATTCCAATTTCCTTTCCTGATAAGCTCCAGGTGCTTTCAAATGTGATGAATTTTACTGATTTTAATTGATATTCATTTCCATTTTCCTGTCTTTAATGCCTTCACTTTTTCCCTTTCCTGTGTAAGCCCTTCCATAATTATTTCTGCATGTATTACATGTTCATGTTTGTGTTGAGATAGTTTTTCAATAATCTGTTTTCTAGTAGAAAATGAAAAGAAAATGAAAATATCTTGTATAATTTGTACTCTGCAGGTTAATTTTAACGAAATTCTCTCCCTAACAGTAATCCTGTTAACTTTTTGTACCTTTGTATCACCTTAATATTTATACCTTTCTCTGATGATGTTTTGAAATTTTGTTGTAGTTTTTTTTCTTTTTTTATCCTTGAAATAAAATGAGTTTGAAAAAATATTTATACTTTTATAAATTTATGTCTAAATATTTCTTCACCCTACCAGATGACAAGATGATTTTCTTATACCTAATTCTATGTGTTAAAGTTTCTTATTTCATATTTTTGCCTTATATCTTCCTGGATGCTCCTTTGGTTGTGATGAAAAATCAGATTTACTCATTTCATATAATGTACAGTCACTTGTTTCTCTTGATTCATAATGCCATCCATATCAAGTCTTCATTTAAATAAAGCAATATTTTTGATATTTCTTATAGACAGTGCATCTAAACACTGTACAATATTCAGGCTTAAAAGATGGTGACTCTCCCATGTATCCTCCAAAATTGAAAGGAATCTTCTCTTTACTTTTGCATTTGAGATTTGAAAAATATAGAGCTGTCTTTGTTTTTCAGAAGGGATTATAAGAGTTTGTCATATCTTCATAGTTGCTTCAGTGACATTATTAATATTGTTGTATTAAGAATATAATTTGAAGAGTTTATAGTATACCACACCATGAAATCTAAGTCTGTACATTACTTTTCACTATCCAGATCATCTTGTTCAGTTTATTTTTCTTTTGTGTTTTCAAACAGGAGTTCCTTCCCTATGTGGTCCTGGTGACCTCTAAATCACTCTGCAGCACAGGTTGGCCACAACGTCTCTGGTTCTTTTTCAACCCATTCAACTGCTGAGATTACGGGCATGGGCACCGTGCCTCATTGTCAGGTTCCATCCATGCATGTTTTTTTCTATGACTGTGTTGTAGATCTTTAAAGAATTTCTTGATAAAGTTGTTTTTGTTTTGTTTTGGTACCAGGGATCAAACGACTTCACACTTGCAGGCAGGCACTTATGCCACTGAGCTAAATTCCCATCCCATTGTTGATAGGGTTTTATAGAGGGGGGTATATAAATGTTTGTAACTATTTCTCATTATTCTTAAAGCCTTTCCCTTACAATGATATGTGAGGACAGTTTTCTTGTACAAAACGGAATAGTGGCACAGCTTGACCCAAGTAGGAGAATGTTCGTTTGTTAACTCCTGTTAAGGGTGACATTAGAAGTATGTACAAAAGTTGACAAAATTCAGTCTTCTAATAAAATATATTTTTAAAGATGCAGTTTCTTTCCCAAAATGTTCATGATATTCCTACTTCATAAGAACACTGTTACACTCTTGATTCTAATACTGACGAATCATTTTTTGTGTTTTGTAAGAAAATATTCATCCTTAAACAAACCTCAACAAAAGAGTTTATAGTTGCCATGTGTGTAGTGACCTTGACAAAGAAAAAAAAGAAAAAGAAAAGAAAAAAGATTTGAGAGCTATTCCTTTACACTATGTTTTCTGTTTTGGAATCAAATCATTACAGGACAATGAAGGTTTTTTAGGTCTTCAAGACCTGACATTGGAGAAGTCAATAATGACTATCATAATGTCTCTCATTCTCTTCGTATAGCTATCCTTATCTTTACATATGCTGAAATTGAACTTAACAGACTAGACTAATATGACTCTGAACAGTGAATAATAGTATTGCTAGATTTTACATCATAATGCTACAGAATTAGCATGGGTTTCTTAGTGTCTCTTCTTCTTCAGAGTATCTGTTCATTACATCTTGCATTACATAATCTGTTCCCATAAATAGTTTAAAAAATTCTTCCTATGTGTGAATTTCTACATGTATATCTACCCTCTCTGTATATAGGGAAAAACAGATCATAACAAGAAAACAAAACAAATTCCTAGAAAAACATGCAATGAAAATGACACATAAGACCACAATATTAGGTGATCTACTGTAGTTCCTATACTTTCTCTTGTTATTTTCAATAGACTTGTCCACATCATCAGGCTTAATATAGTTAAGCATAGTATTACCTAGCTATTTTTATAAAAACACAACTTTGAAGACATTGTAGGACTGGAAAGCGGTTAATAATCAAAACCAGTATGGATATCTTTTATGTCTTGTCATCTTCAGAGTAGTTGCCTCTTTTAGACTTGATACTATCAAGCATACCAAATTTGAATAAAATCAGCCAAGGCAAAACCATGGTCTAACAAACCAGATTCAAATAAGATCAGTCATAGTAAGACAATGTAAGTAATACGGGGTTTCAGTTTAAGTTAATAGGAAATTAAGGATAGTTACCATGATATAACCTGCTATTTTTGGGTTAGATGTCTGTGCCCTCAAATCTGATATGGGTGGACAGACTGGAACAAAATAAAATCAAACTAGACAGAGCGATAAGACTACTGTGACTTTTAAATCGTGATACACTATTAACAATGACCTCTGCCTTCCTTTTTTAGGCTATTTTTCATCTTTCCCCTTCTCAGGATGCTTTGTACATTTTGAGTCCCACTAGCCCCTTTAATATTTAGATTAGGGGGCCAACCTGTTACGCGTCTGAGTGTTGCTGAACCTTTTTACCCCTGAGCTTGATCTTGAGCTGTACTCCTTTACTCACTAAAGTCATAGGGTTTTCCTTCCTTCCAGCTGTGTAGTTCTACACTGCCCAAAAGTGTCATGACTTTCCAATCCATCTGCGGCTGCTGGATGCGTTGTCCCTATTTCTCTCTGGTTTCCTGTCACATATAACATTGCTTTCTCGTCTTCGACTTTCAGTTTATTAACCCTCTTTCGGGTTGAATGTATTTCCTATTCAGAGCATCTCGATGGAACCTGCCTCCCAATCTACTCTGCCTGTTTGTTTTTTTTAATGTTAGTGTATCAAGGCTATCTATATTAAAGATTATAGCCTACTGTCTCTGCCTCATGTCTGCTATAATTTGTCCACTTTACTCCTTCATTCCACTGTCTACCTTGTTCATTGAGGCTTCTCTGCCACTGTTGCTGGAATCCTGGTATTTTTTTCCTCTCTCTCTCTCTTTCTGGAATGTCCTTTAGTATTTTTTGTAGGGTTGGGTTGGTGGCCATGAACTCCCACAGTCCCTCCTTGTCTTGGAAACATCTTATTTCTCCATTAATTTTGAGACAGAGTTTTTCTGTGTACATCAGTCTTGGTTGAAGATTATTTTCTTTCATGGCTTGGACTATTTCCCCCAGGCTCTTCTCAATTTGAGAGTTTGTGTTGGTAAGCCTGTTGTTATTTTGATAATTTTTCAATTGTAGGTAATCTGCTTCTTTTCCCTGGCTGCTTTTAATATTCTGTTCTTGTGGGGGATTTCTGGAATCTTGATTATATGTCTGGGTATAGATCTGTTTTGGTTGTAGGTGGCTGGAGTCCTGTATGCCTCATTTATCTGGATATCATTTCTTTTTCCTATGCTTGGGAAGTTTTCCTAATTATTTCTGTGAATAGTCTTTGTAGTTCATTTTTGGTTACTCTGCTTCCTCGCTCACATGTTTTATTCTTAAGTTATAGATTCTTTTGTCGTCTTCTAGTCTTTGAAGTGTTTCTTTCTGGTTCCTTGTTATTTTTAAGAGATCTTTTCTTTCACGATCATATATCATAAATTTCTCTTCAAGTTTCAAAAGGCTAACTTTAGTTTCTGTCAAGGCATTTTGCCAGCTTTTAATGGAGTTTTTAGTTTCCTGGTAATCTCTTTGAATCTGTTTCATGTATTCTAGATTATGTTTAAATTCTTCATCAAAGGTTTCTCTTTCTTTTCTGAGTTCCTCCATTCTTCCATCTGTGTTCTCTTGGGAGGGGCTTATCATTTCTTTAATTAATCTTTTTATATCTTGCCTTACTTGGATCAGAAATACAGTTTTAAATTTGTCTATGAGATCATGAAGATATTTCTTTATGTCCACTGATGCTGTGTCTAGTATTGGATGGTTACTGTGCTGGTTCTCTTCTGTGTTTACTTCTCCTGAGCTTATTTTCCCAGGTTCAGCAGCTGGAGATTTTTTAAAAATTTCTATCTCTTGTCATGTTTCTGGTTTCCTTCAGACTGGTATGTCCTGGGGGTCTCTGGCCCTCTTTGTATTGCTTAGGGTCTTTCCAAAGCATGCTGACTGGGGTTTTGCTGCCCTCCCCAATTTGCTGTTATCTGAGGTACATGCAGGGATGCAGGGACTGTGCAGGCTAGCTTCCAGCTTCTGAGCCAGTCAATCCGCAAGTTAGGCTGTACCTTGTAGACGTCACAGTGTTGTGACAATTTTGTACCTGCTTATTGGGTTCCAACCAGAGGTGTGGCTTCACCCCAGCAGATCCCGCCAGTTCTCTCTGCACCAGGGGTGGCTGACTGACATCACCGTGGACCGGGCTCTGCCCAACTCCAAGATGTCCTCCGGCCAGCGACTAGCACTCATCGGGAATCAATGCAGTTCTTCCTCTTGGGTCCGCTCCCCACTGCACTGCATGTCTTCACTGCACTCCCTGCACAGTGCGGATAGGTCAGAAAACTGCACGGTGCCTGGCTTTGGTGCCCAGGTGTATGGTCCTCTTGCGGTCTCCTCCAGTGCAGCCAGGTGGCTTTGCTTTGCGGGGCCCTGGGACCCAATTTGCAGCACTCACCAAGAGCCAAAAAAGCTCTTCCCCTTGGATCCACTGCTCACTGTGCCACGTCCTCGCATTAAGGGCCCAGGATTCCCATTATCAGCAGCTGCGTTCTAAGCACAACTTTGGGTTGTCTGGGCGTGCCTAGTACAGTGCAGCACGGGTCTCAGTGAGCACATCGGGCGGCCTTCAGCTCTTCACCTCCCCCCACACTGGTTTTAAATTCATAGGGATCCCCCTGCCTCAGCCTTCTGAGGGCTAAAGTTGCAGATAAGCACTACAACACTTGGCTTTCAGTTCAACTTCTTATGAGAAGAGTTGAGATATTCTCACCTATGGGTCTCAACCTTTCTTTAAGAAATATATGTTTGATCGTTTAGGAGGCAGTGACTTTTGAGGATGTAGCTGTGAACTTCACTTTGGAGGAGTGAATTTGATTAAATAGAATGTAATTAAATAGAATGTAAAAACATTTTGAAGAGTATCTCTATCCTGGTTACATTATATCATAAACCTAAATGAGATCTATTGGTTTTTATGAAATAAAGTGGTGACTTGTTATTTCTGCTTGTACACTTCAGGAAAAGTCTGTGATAACAGGAGACTTGAAGAAGAGTACAAAAGTTACTGGAGAATGCTAAGGTAATTTGCAGTCACGAGGAAAAGGAAGGTTCCTCAAGTGTTTGTGAGCAGAAGCATGACAATGAAGAGAATGAGACCATGTTCAGATTTATTTAATCTCACAAATGTTCTCTAAAGGTGTATGCAGGTTAAGTGTGTGTAATCTGACAGTTGAATAAAGATGTATTCCAATATAGGAAGCTGAGTTACTACTGATACCATGGAACGAAGTAACAGTGTAAAAAAATATAAATAAGTATAAAAATTCATTCATGCTCAACATCATGAATATATATGAAATTGTACTTAGTTATTGGGTATAGGTTTATATGAAAATGATAAATTTTGAGTTATACAGTGACCCATCTTCAGGATATCTATTTATGTATCCATGTGAATATGAGACATTAACATCTAAAAATTGTTAATATCTAAAAGTTGTTTCTTTACTTCAGTTGCTATCATTTCAGGAGTCTCAGGAGTATGGCTTACATTTCCTTCTGTCCATGTCTCCTAGGCTTGCTTGGGATGGGCTGAAATTAGAGAGTACATTTTGCTCTTTTGTTTTGTCATTTTCCTATATTCCCTTAGGGAAGCCAAATGACTTGACAGGTCTCAGTTGTTTCTTGGGTTGAGAATATCTATCCCTATTGCAGGGGGTTTCCCCAGATGGGTAAGGGTCCTTAGACACACCTTAAAAGGTGGCTACCAGCCACTTGGGGTCACCAGGCAGGTCCCTAACAGTTTCAAAGTGACACGCCAAGGCTTCCCTGGGAGATGGAAATTGCTGTGTGCCCTTTCAGCTTGTGAGGCAGAGTGCAGGTGGCTGTGCACCACTCAGGGGACGCCGGGAAGGGCCCAAGCAGGCCTGGAGGGATCTTCCTGTGGGTCCTCTGGTGATGTGGGATGCTGGGTGGGGCCCTAATAGTCTCTCAGAGTGACACGCCAAGGCTTCTCCTGTGGGATGGAAATTGCTGCATGCCCTTTTGGCTCATGAAGCAGGAGGCAAGTGGCTGGGGGCCACTCTGAGGTCGCTGAGTGGGGCTGTCACTAAATTTTAAAAATGTAACAAATGTTAAATGGAATAGTTGGCTGCTAGGACATCTTAAAAATTGAGTTTACAGTTACCTATATTGCGGTGCTCGTTTGTTACTCCCCCAAAATAATGTATAAGTGGTAAATTTTTACCAGCTACTGTTTCACTACTTTTTAGTCAAAATGAAACTTGTTCTTAGTGTTCAGTAATAGAATCCTACAGTATTTGGTGGAAGGGCCACATTACACAATAAAGGATGAAGAGTGGGTTTGCCGACATTCCATATTAATATACAATGTTTATGCTTTCATTAAAATAAATAACAAAAAAAGTAAAATTAGGAGGTATGGGGCATTAAAAATACTAATTTTTCTAATTGTTGAGATTTTGCCTTTACAATTTGTTTTAATTTTGGGTGCATATACTTCATATTGAGTGTAACAAAAGATTTTTTTAAATTTGATGCTATATTTTAAGATATATTTTCAGAGATTTGTGAATATTTTTAAACAGATGAGTTGTTTTTCCACAAATTGCACATTAGCAAATGTTATTTATTTCCTGATAAGGTACCTGCCTATTAGCACCTAATTTTGCCTAATTTTCTTACATTTTGGAGCCAGTATTAGCATTTAAATAAAATTTTTTAATCTTACATAAAATTTTTCATCTTAACTTTTTCCTTTTCATGTTTATATTGCTACCACTTCATTTAGTGATAATTTTCCCACCACATGTACCAAAAATTAAAACATACAACTGTAGGCTTTTGGTTCCCACAAAGCAGCAGTCTTTATACATGGAGGGATGATTTATTAGCAAAACCACTTTTAAAGGAATCGTCAACTCTGTCAGTTAATTTAGGGAGAATGGTTGCTATTGAGTTTATTTTTTTTAAATTTTATTTAAAAAAAACAGTAAAAGGGTACAATATAGAATTTCAAAAAAAAGTAAGAAATCACTAATTAATAGATTATATATTGTCATTTTAGAAATAGTTTTTCAAGTTACAGGATTAAAGCATACAAAGTGGACATTCAAACAGTGAGACTGCAAACAGCTGTGTTCAATGATCCAACAAAACTTAGTAATATGGTCATCTATCCTACACATCTACACACACTTGCAGTTGTATCCTTTAGAGCACTTTCTTTTCCTCTCTTTTTTTTATAATAACAATTACACATTTTAGGTTTTATTACTCCCACAGTTCTTATTACTTTTTTTTTTTTTTGGAAGAGACTAAAACCAAATGTGATAAAACAAAGCACAGTCAGTCAAAACAAAGGATGGACATAGTACAGAGTACATGATGTAAAAACAGAATACAAAGTAATCAACAATGGATACCATAATGACTCTTGCTAATTTAAAAATAATTGCCTATATCATCAGGTATAATAAAATTGAACAAAACAGTATAGAACAAAACCAGTAAAACCTAAACATTGGAGATATTACAGGACTTCAAAAGAAGATAACAGTCAAACCAGAATGGGCATCATAGTGAATCTTATTGCCTATACCCTCAAACTTGATACTATCAAACAAAACAGAATAGAATAAAATCAGTCAAAACAAGATGGTGAGAGCAATACAGGGCTTCAAATCAAGTTAACAGGAAATCAAATAAGTTACTATAATATATCCTGCTAATTTTTAAAAAATTTCCCCCTAATTAAAAAATAATAAATTTTTAAAAAGGGGGGCAGATTGAAATAAAAGAGGACATAACATCATAACAATACAGGTCAGAACAGAACAATTTAAGCAACCCAGTGTTTCACCACAAGATAACCTGACTTAATAGTAGTTATCATGGTGTCTCTTTCCTTGAAATATTTGAGTATAACTTCATACACTATAGCATCAAACATATCAAGACAGTGTGAAACCATTCAAGAGGATGAAAGTATTTAGAACCAGCTAACAGAAAATGAGCAATGGTTTTTATATTATCTTTGCCTATAAAACTTTTGTTTATACTATCACATATAATAAAATCCAATAAGATACAACATGATAAAACCAATGAAGACAGAACAAGTTTGATGGGACTTCAACAAGATATTAAATCAGCACTAGCTATTATGATGTCTTGTCGTCTTCAAAATAGCTGTTCATATCATCACAGACAATAAAATCAAACAGCCCAGAATAAAACCATTCCAATTAATGAGTGAAAACTTTATAAGGCTTCAAAGCCATATAATGGGGAATCATGATTACCACATACTTTTATGTATTTATATCATTTCTTACACTAGGGAAACTATTTGGCTATTGAGTTTACATAGCCAACTGGATTTACTGTATTCCTTGCAGCTGAGATGTCAATCTTTAATAATTATTTTTTACCTAATAAACTGATTTAATTGCATCAATGAAACCCTAACTTGTAAGAGTTATCATTTTGCTTATTAAAAACTGAAATTTATGCACTCAGGTACCCACAGTGAGGCCCAGACACTGGGAAGCTGCACCCAGTGACCTGCACATACCCAGGAATTAAGTGAGGCTGGGGACTGTGAAGCTGCACCCAGTGATCCAGTCATCCAGAAACTCTCCCAGAGGCCCATATAGGTTTAAGAGCCTGCCCACAGTGACCCTCCCACACCTATGAACTATCTCTGAGGCCTGCAGAGACCAGAAGTCTGTGTCTAGTAACCTATAGTCATCTGGAGACTCACAGAGAGGCCTATAGGAACTGGGAAGCTGTGCCCAGTGACCCGCCCATACCCAGGAACTGTAGGTGAAGCTCCTAGGGACTGAGAAGCTCCATCCAGTGACCTACTATCATCTGGGAACTCTCCCTCAGACCAGTGAGGTTTGGGAATCTGCACTCAGCGACATGCCCATATCCAGGAACCATCTGTGAGGCCCATGGGGACCAGGAATCTGCAGTCACCTGGGAACCCACAGTGAGGCCCATAGCTACACCAATGACACATTCACACACAGGAACTGTAAGTGAGGCTCCTGGGGATGCAAAGCTGCATCCAGCAATCTATCCACATGCAGCAGCCAACTCTGAGGCCTGCAGGGACCAAGAGTCTGCACCCAGAGGCTCACAATCATCAGCAACCCTGACTGTGGCCCACTGCTCAATGGGCTACCAGTGCAGGAAGCAGCTAGGACTTGGCATCCAACTGAATTGGTGGAACACAAGAAAATGCCAAAATGAAAGAACAAAATGCAATCTAAAACTTCCATCCCAGAAATAAACAACAGAAATAAACAACTCCAGAAAGCTGTAAAGGAAATGAGATCAGAAGTAATCTCTCAGATAAAAACAGAAATGATAAAATATGATGAAAGAATTGGTGAGCATATCCAAAGAAGACACAGATTTTTTAAAAATCAGGAGCGTATAAAAAACGATGGAAAACCTGAATGAAAAATATAGGAAACAATTAGAATACATGAAACAGATTCAAGGAGATACCAAGGAAATAAAAAATTCCACTGAAAACAGGCAACTCTGCATAAATGAAATTGAAGATAGACTCTCAGACCTTGAAGACAAGGATTTGGGTAGTGATCATGAAAGGAAAGATCTCTTAAAAATAACAAGGATTCAGGAAGTAAGTCAATGGCTGCAAGATGATGCAAAGAGAAGCAATATAAGATAGATAGATGTCAACAAAAAAGGAGACAACACAAGTGAAATAGCACAAGACTATTTTCAGAAAGCAGAAAATTTTCCAATCACGGGAAGATAACCAGACATACAGATTGGCAAGGCACACAGACCCCAATTAGCCATAGCCAAAATAAATCTACACTATGACATATAATAATCAAGATCTCAGAAATTCAGCAATAAGAACAGAATATAAAAAGCTGATAGAGAAAGTAAACAGATAACTTATGAGGGGAAAGCCTATCAGACTTCTCAACACAAACCAGTAAGTCAAGAAGAGCATGGAGTATTTCAAGTTCTGAAAGAAAACAACTTCTAACACAGATTGATGTCTTCTACAAAACTATCTTTCAAAATCCATGGAGAAATAAGATAACAACTATGCAGAAGTTAATTTTATATACTTTTTGTTGTATCATTCCACTTTATTTTCTATCAAAGACACCATCAACAGCATTGTTAAGTCTCTATATTCTGAACATGAAATGCCTGATTACTCATATTGCATTATGTTTTACTCTACAACGGAGGCATACAGATATATAAAAAATATTATATATATATATATATATATATGGAGAGAGAGAGAGAGACAGACAGACAGACAGACAGACAGACAGACAGAGAGAGAGACTGCTGTACGGGAATTACCATAAAGGAGTGTCTGCGCTCCATCCTGAGTCCCAGGAGCCCCAGGAGTTTGGGATCATAGCTCCCAAAGGAACTTCCCACACTCGACTGGCTCCTCAGGTCTTAGGCTGCCTGCGCCAACTTCCCGGCTTCCTGCTGTGCTCGGCCAGCTTGGGGTGGTGGTGGTGCTGGGCCTGCCTGTGCTCTCAATTCTGGAAACTGGGCAGCAGGAGGTGAGTGTCCCTGCACAATCCCGAGCCCTGGGAGTTTGGGATCCTTGCCCCCTCTGGCCTGGGAACTTTCTGGCTTCCTGCAATATTTGACTGGCTCCGCTAGGCTTGGGCCTGCCGGTACCACCCACAGTGACGCTCTCTCAATCCAGGGAACCAGGCAGCCAGAGTCCCAGGAGCTGAGGGCAAAGAAGACGATTTCCAACAGGCCCAGGGGAAGCCTTGGAACAATACTTGAAACACAGAAATAAGGAAAATGACAAAATGAAAGACCAAAATGCAATCTCAAACCTCTAGCCCATCCCAAGAAACCTTAGGAGCCATGTACATAGCAGAAAATATATGCCGTACACCTGAAATACCTGAAATAATAGCAACTGAAATAAAGAAGCAACTCCGGGAGGCTTTAAAGGAATACAAACTAGAAATAATCTCCCAGGTAAAAGCAGAAATGATAAAAGAAATGAAAGAGATGCTGAACATATCCAAAGACAACACAGTTAAAAAATTAGAGGAACAAAACAAAAAGAATCCCTGGATGAACAATAAGGGATTATTATAAGAAATAAACAGAATACATGAAGCAGATTCAAAGAGATATACAGGAAATCAAAAATCCCATTGAAAGTTGTCAAACCACCTCAACAAAAGTGAAGATAGAATTTGAGACCTTGAAGACAAGATTTCAGCTAATGAACAGGAAAGGAAAGATCTCTTAAAAATAACAAGAAATTAGGAAATAACAATTCAACACCTGCAAGATTACACAAAGAAAAACAACATAAGGTTGATAGGAAAAAATGAAAAAGAAGGGAACAACATAAAGGATGTCAAGAGAATATTTAGAGAAGTAATAGCTGAAAATTTCCCAAACATGAGATTGGAAACTGATATCAAGATCAATGAAGCATGTAGAACTCCAAATAGTCATAACCAAAATAAAACTACACCCAGACATATAATAAATCCAACATAAGAATACAGTGTTAAAAGCTGTCAGAGAGAAAAGACAGATCACCTATTAAGGAAAACCTATCAAAATCACTGCAGACTTCTCAGCACAAAAAATAAAGTCAAGAAGAGCATGGAGTGAAGTATTTCAGATCCTAAAGGAAAATGATTTTCAACCTAGATGATGTACCCTGCAAAACTGTCCTTCAAAATAGATGGAGAAATAAGATATTTCCATGACAAAAAACAGCTGAAGAACTTTATGATCACCAAGCCAACCCTGCAAAGAATACTGAAAGACAGTTTAGATACACTTAGGAAAAAAACCACTAAGCAAAGCAGACAATTTAAAACAGAATGGAAAGATAGCTGTCTGCAAGAAACCTATCTATCCCAAAAGGATACTTACAGACTGAAAGTCAAAGGATGGAAAACAATACTTCATGCAGCAGGAAACCCCCCCCCCAAAGGAGGGGTAGGTATTCTGTTTACAGACAATGTGAACTTAAAACCCAGGATGATCAGAAGAGATAAAGAAGGTCACTACATATTGGTTAGGGGAAAATTTCAAGAGGAAGAGATGACAATCTTCAATATACATGCACCAAAATCCAGAGCACCCAGGTATACAAAGCAAGTATTAATAAAAATGAAAAATTAAATTAGCAATAACACAATTATAACAGGAGACCATAACACACCATTGACACTAAGGGGCAGATAGACCAGACAGAAAATCAGCAAAGAAGTAACAGAATCGAACCATACCTGTGAACAAATTGACTTGACAGACATATACAGAGTGTTCCATCCAACAATATCAGAATACACATTCTTCTCAGCAGTACATGGGACATTCTCTAAAACAGACCATATACTAGTCCACAGAACGTATTTAAATACATGCAAAGGAGTTGAAATTATCCTTTGTATGTTACCGGATCATAGCGCCATGAAACTAGAAATTAATGATAAAAGAAACCACAAAAACCCCACAAAAACATGGAAATCGAATAACACACTCTTGAACAATCAGTGGGTCACAGGGGAAATTAAAGAAGAAATTAACCAATACCTACCAGCAAAGGAAAATACAAATACAACTTAACAGAATCTGTGGGATGCAATGAAAGCTGTCCTCAGAGGAAAATTTATTGCACTGGGTTCCCACATCAGGAAAACAGAACGAATACAAACAAATAACTTGATGCTACACCTCAAACAGCTAGAAAAAGAAGAGCAAGTCAAGCCCAAAGCCAAAAGAAGGGAGGAAATTATAAAAATCAAGAGCAGAAATCAATGCAATAGAGACTAAGAAAATAATCCAAAGAATCAATAAATTAAAGAGTTGGTTCCTTGAAGGAATAAACAAAATTGATGAGCCCTTAAACAATCTTATTTAAAAGAGGGAAGAAAAAGTTCAAATTCATGCAATAAGGAATGAAAAAGGCGAAACCACTACAGACTCTGTGGAAATACAGAAGATCATCAACACCTATTTCAAAAACCTCTACTTTCATAGGTTTGATAACACAGAAGAGATAGACAGATTCCTAGAAATATATGAAGTACCAAAGCTAGGTCAAGAAGATGTAAAACTGCTGAATAACTCAATTTCTATTAATGAAATTGAAAATGTAATTAAGTCCTTACCCACAAAGAAGAGCCCAGGCTCAGACTGATTCACTGTGGAATTCTACAAGAAAGTGAAAGAAGACTTAATGCTGACACTCTTCAAACTCTTCAATGAAACTGAAAGGGAAGCAATTCTTTCTAAGTCATTCCTGGAAGCAAATATTACTCTAGTACCAAAACCTGAGAAAGACCCAACTGAAAAAGAGAACTATAGACCGATCTCCCTAATGAACACAGATGCAAAAACCCTCAATAAAATATTGGCAAATAGGATGCAGCAAATCATCAAGAAGATTATATACCATGACCAAGTGGGATTCATCCCAGGAATGCAAGGATGGTTCAACATATGTAAATCAATAAATGTAACCAACCATATCAATAAAGCCAAAAGTAAGAATCACATGATCATTTCTATAGATGCAGAAAAAGCCTTTGATAAGGTCCAATATTCATTTATGATAAGAACCTTACAGAAAATTGGAATAGATGGTCTTTATCTCAATATGATAAAGGCCATCTATGACAAACCAACAGCCATTATCATATTAAATGGCCAAAAACTGAAGGCCTTTACCTTAAAATCAGGCACAAGACAAGGATGTCCCTTATCACTGCTTCTATTTAATACAGTACTGGAAATACTAGCCAGAGCAATTAGACAAGAGAGAGAAATAAAAGAGGTAAAGATAGGAAAAGAGGAAGTTAAATTACCATCACTTGCAGATGACATGATACTCTACATAGAAGACCCCCAAAACTCCATTGAAAGACTCCTAGATATAATAAATAAGTTCAGCAATGTAGCTGGATACAAAATCAATACTCAAAAATCAACAGAATTCCTATACACTAACAACAAAATCACAGAGAGAGAAATAAAAGAAGCCACATCCTTCATACTAGCATCCAAAAAATGAAATATTTAGGAATTATTTTCACGAAAGAAGTGAAAGATCTATAGAGGGAAAATTATAATACACTGAAAAACAAAATTGAAGAGGATCTCAGAAAATGGAAAGACATCTCTTGCTTATGGATAGGGAGAATAAATATTGTGAAAATGGCCATTCTCCCAAAACTATTATACAGATTCAATGCAATCCCAATAAAAATACCATCAACATACCTCATAGATCTAGAGTAATCACTCCTAAAATTCATCTGGAGCAAGAAGAGACCCAGAATAGCAAAGAGAGTTCTAAGCAGCAAAGGCAAGGCATCACAATCACTGACTTGAAGTTATACTACAAAGCTACTATAATAAAATCAACATGGTACTGGAATAAAAACAGAGCTGAAGATCAATGGGATAGATTAGAAGATACAACCACAACTACAAACACACTCAACCACCTTATCTTTGATAAAGGGGCCAAACATGTTCACTGGACAAACAAGTCTCTTTAATAAATCGTGTTGGAAAAACTGGCTCTCCATATGCCGAAAACTAAAACTAGACTCATGCCTATTACCATGTATGAAACTAAAATCTAAATGGATCAAAGGTATGAATATTAAAACAGAAACACTAAATCTATTAGAAGACAAAGTGGGTAAAAAACCTTGAAGACATAGAGGTAGGTAGAGAATTCATGAACAGGAATCAAACCACATGGGAAATACTTCCCAAAATCAATAACTGGGATCATGTCTTATTAAAAAGTTTCTGCATATCAAATCTCCAGCATAGTGAAAAGAAAACCCACAAACTAGGAAAAAATTTTGGTGAACTGTCCCTCAGACAAAGGTCTTCTGTCTAAAACATATAAAGAATTTTAAAAAATCAGACTCCCAAAATTCAAAGATCCAATCCAAAAATGGGCATCAGAGATGAATACAGTTCTCAGAGCAAGAAATACAAATGGCAAATAAATACATGAAAAAATGTTCATCATTACTCATTAGAGAAATGCAAATTAAAACCACACTGATATTCCATCTCACTCCTGAAAGAATGGCCAGGATCAAGAAAACTACCAACAAACGCTGGAGAGATTGTGGGGAAAAAGGAACACTCCTGCACGGTTGGTGGGAATGTAGACTGGTGCAACCACTGTGGAGGTCAGTCTGGAGATTCCTCAAAAAGCTGGCATTGGAAGTCCCATTTGTTCCAGCTATTCCACTTCTAGGCATATTCCCAGAAAAACTGAAAACATCATACCACAGTGATATATGTGCACCCGTATTTATAGCAGCACAATTTGTAATAGCCAGATTTTGGAAACAACCTAAGTGTCCATCAAGTAAGGAATGGATAAAAAAGTTGTGGTATTTTTATACAATGGATTACTACTCAGCTGTAAAGAAGGAACACATTGAGATATTTATAAATAAATGGACACAGCTTGAGACCATACTCATCAGTGAAATAAATCAAACTCACATGTATAAATACTGTATAGTTTCCGTAGTGTAAGAAATGGTTAGAATACATAAAAGTATATGGTAATCATGATTCCCCACTATATGCTTTGAAATCTTACGTTTTCATTCATTAGTTGGAATGGTTTTATTCTGGATTATTTGATTTTATTGTCTGTGATATGAACAGCTATTTTGAAGAAAACAAGACATTATAATAGCTAGTACTGATTTAATATTCCCTTGAAGTCCTACCAAGCTTTAGCTCTGCCTCCATCGGTTTTATCATGTTGTGTTATTGGATTTATTATATGTGATAGTATAAATAAAGTTTTTATGGACAAAGAAATAATACAGTAACCATTGTTCATTTTCTGTTAGTTGGTTCTGTATACCCTGTAGTACTTTCATTCTCTTGAATGGTTTTATACTGTCTTGTTAGGTTTGATACTATAGTGTATGAAAGTATACTCAAATATTTCAAGGAAAGAGACACTGTGGTAGCTACTGTTATGTCGAGTTGTCTTGTGGTGAAATACTATGTTACTTAAATTGTTTTGTTCTGAAAAAAAAAAAGAATTACCATAAAAAGACTATTTCCTGCCCTCCTGGGAAACAGCACCATGCCTGTGCTGCCAATAGACTAGGCACCCCCAGATTGCAGCCTTTCCCCACGAATTAGTGCCATTTGTGGACTGCAAGAACAAGGCTTTACCAGGAAGCAAGCCCCATCTGGGAGCCATCACTATGCACAGGCCACCACCAGACTGAGGGCAACCATACCCCAGCCTTTCCCTGTGAGTCAGTACCATTTGTGTACTGCAGGGAGAGAGAACAAGGCCACACCAGGAAGTGAGACCCATCTGAGGACCAGCACCATGTGCGGGCTGCCACCAGGCTGAGTACAGCCAGATCCCAGCCCCTTCTGGCATTCTGGCTGGCAAACAAGTAGCAACCATGCCTTCTTCCCACTCCCCAAGTAAGCAACCAGCTTATCTGGAGAAACAGGCTGTGATGATAGCTATCGAGATGAAATGCAATTGGATGCCTGTGGTGCTTTGGTGTTTCACTAACATTGCAGATCTGGGCCAGTGGTCTGATTTATAGGTTCAGAGGATAGAGGTATACATTGTAGCATCTAGGAGGGTCTCCTTCTGAGGGCTGCAGCCATTGTTGATTCCCTATGTTCTTGTTTTGAGAGTCCTATATTGTTCCCATTGTTTTGTTGGCTTGGGTTTTATTCAAGACCATTGTATAAAACATTTCACACATATTTCAGTGTTAAAACAATTGTAAAAAAAAACTGGTCAAAGACCAACTGAGATTCATGCGCACATGCTGTCCAGTTTCTTATGTATGAAGGTAACTGTCACATAAACTGTCAGACAGTGTCCACTGTCAGACAGTGGACCTTATGAACACCAAGAAATGGCATTGTATAAATTTATCTCAAATACTGGTAAAACAGAACACAACCTAAGCTATAAAGTAGCAAATTCCATTTTTTAATAAAAAAAAAGAATATCTCTCATGAATTAGGATTTCCTTTATGCCATTAGTTTGGCTTCTTAGGAAAAATACCCATTACCAAAGAAGAATGACATCATAGCAGTAGGAAATAGAATAATAGGATTTGACTTGTTGGATTCAATAGCAACCATTCTCCCCAAAATAATTCCACATCTAACAAAATCCTTCAAAAGTTTTGTTACTGATAAGCCATGCCATCACATATCTTTCCTGGAGAGATTACTATAATTCACTGTATCCTTTTGGAGACTTATTTATGGACCTGCTGTTCAATGGCAATTTGAAACTCACAACAGTATGGTTTATTTTTGGTGCATTTGGTGGAAAAATTACTACTAAATTAAAAGTTTGCAACATAAACATGAAAAATAAAATTTCATGATAAGATAAAAGTTTATGTAAATGCCTGAAGAACAAGAAAAATAGGCAATGTTATTGTTGGGTGCAGACGCTCAACATACCATACCCCACCTGGGACTAAGGACCACGCCATCTTCGGCAATGCGCTACGTCCCTCTTTAAATTAGCCAACCCGTGCGCACCCCGTGCTCACTCCGTACTCTGTGGCAACCCCTGATTGGCCACAGCTGGATATAGTAGCCAGAGCCTGCGTCCCATTCCCGCCCTGCTTCCTCGTGGCAGCCTGTGATTGGTCATGGCCAAATATATAAACCAGAGCCCGCATAAATAAAGCAGCAGTTAACTGTCGCCCACAAGAGCGTCTCCTGTCTCATTGGGGGGCTGCGCCGGTCATGTTATGTACATAATAAACAGTATCTTATCAGAATATATAAAACAACACTGCAAAAAAAAAACAATTGCTAAGTTGTGTGAAATCAATTCAACTTTATCAAAAACACAAGTCCATAAATCTCTGAAAATATCAACATAAAATATAGCATCAAATTCAAAAACATCTTTCATTACACAGAAGTCTACATGAAAAAGTTTTAAAATGTTGTGGCAAAACTCCAATGATTAACAAATAATCATTAACAAAAATAAGTTTTTTAGTGACCTGTAACTCCTATTTTTATTTTTTGGTACCAGGGATCAAACTCACAACTACGTGCTTGCAAGGCAGGCGCTTATGCCGCTGAGCTAAATCCCCAGCCCCTACCTCCTAATTTTAAAGACAAAACAAAAACTACATAAACATGAACTATCTTTAAAAGTAAAAAGTGTATTTCAATTCTTCATATTTAATTAAAAGACACTGTATTTTTTGTAAGCCCAAAGACACTAACACAAAAATACATAAATGTTAACTTAAAGTTTTTATATGAAACAATACAAACACATAATCCAGATATTTATAAGCAGTTTACTGGGGGAAAAAGCTATGTACTTTAAAATATCTCCATCTGAAAAAAAATAAAATATCTCCTTCTAGAATTGCATTTTCTGGAAAATTTATGAAGACAAAAATTTGTCTTTTTGAGACAGGGTTTAAGCTGGCCATGGCCTCACTTGGTAGCCCAGGCTGGTCTTAAACTTCCAATAATCCACCTGCCTCAGCCTGCCGAGTGCTAGGCTTCCAGGCATGTACCCCCACGCCCCGTTCTGTGAAGACAACTTTGTATTGGTTATTTCTGCTAGTCTCCACCACATGAGAAAGTTTCACAGTATTCTCAAAATAGGCTAACATAAAGCTTCTCCCCAATGAGACCTCATGTATTTTGTAATACCTGTGTATGCTGAGATCTTTCCCACCTTGCTAATGAGCAGTATTTCCCTGCAGTATGAGTTCTTTCATGAGTTTGACATGTACTGATTGTTTTCTCACCTTGCTAACCTACCTAAGATTTCTCCTTAGTATGATTTCTTTCATGTTTTATACAATAATACTTTGAGTTGAAAGCTTTCCCACATTGCTTGCATACATACGGTTTTTCCCCAGTGTGAGTTCTTTCATGTACTTCACAATCATACTTTGCGTTGTAACCTTTCCCACATAATTTACATACATAGGGTTTCTCCCCAGTGTGAATTCTTTCATGTATTTTACAATTACTCTGTGTGCTGAAAGCTTTTCCACACTGGTTACATACATACGGTTTCTCCCCAGTGTGATTTCTTTCATGTCTATGACAAGAGGCACGTGTGCTGAAAGCTTTCCCACATAATTTACACACATAGGGTTTTTGTCCACTGTGAGTTCGTTCATGGCTTTCACAATAAAAGTGTGTGCTAAAAGCTTTCCCACACTGCTTACATACATACGGTTTCTCCCCAGTGTGAATTCTTTCATGTATCTGAGAAGCACAACGTGTGCTGAAACATTTCCCACATAATTTACATGCATAGGGTTTTTCTCCACTGTGAGTTCGCTCATGTCTTTCACAATAAAAGTGTGTGCTGAAAGCTTTCCCACATTGCTTACATATATAGGGTTTCTCCCCAGTGTGATTCTTTTCATGTATTTTACAATAACCCTCTGAGCTGAAAGCTTTTCCACACTGGTTACATACATATGGTTTCTCCCCAGTGTGAGTTCTTTCATGTTTTTGACAAGAGCCACGTGTGCTGAAAGCTTTCCCACATTTCTTACAAGTATAGGGTTTCTTACCAGTGTGAGTTTGTTCATGTCTTTGGCAATGACTCTGTCTGCCAAAAGCTTTCCCACACTGCTTACACACATACGGTTTCTCCCCAGTGTGATTTCTTTCATGGATGTTACATGTCCTACGCCTGCTGAAAGCTTTTCCACATTGCTTACACACATAAGGTTTCTCCCCAGTGTGAGTTCTTTCATGCATTTTACAATAAGACTGTGCACTGAAAGCTTTCCCACACTGCTTACATACATAGGGTTTCTCTCCAGTGTGATTTCTTTCATGTATGATACATGCACTACAATTGCTAAAAGCTTTCCCACATTGCTTACATACGTAGGGTTTCTTCCCAGTGTGAGTTTTTTCATGTACTTGACAATACCCACGTGTGCTGAAAGCTTTCCCACATTGCTTACATAAGTAGGGTTTCTCCCCACTGTGTCTCCTTTCATGTATTTTACAGTAACTCTGAGTACTGAATGCTTTTCCACACTGATTACATACGTAGGGTTTCTCTCCAGTGTGACTTCGTTCATGTATCTGAGCAGCACTGCGTGTGCCAAAACCTTTCCCACACTGCTTACATACATAGGGCTTCTTCCCTGTGTGAATTCTTTCATGTACTTTACATGCACCATGTCTGGTGAAAGATTTCCCACATTGCTTACATAAATAGGGTTTCTCCCCACTGTGTCTCCTTTCATGTATTTTACAGTAACTCTGGGTACTGAATGCTTTTCCACACTGATTACATACATAGGGTTTCTCTCCAGTGTGACTTCGTTCATGTATCTGAGCAGCACTGCATGTGCCAAAACCTTTCCCACACTGCTTACATACATAGGGCTTCTTCCCTGTGTGAATTCTTTCATGTACTTTACATGTACTATGTCTGGTGAAAGATTTCCCACATTGCTTACATATATAGAGTTTTGCTCCACTGTGATTTCTTACATAGATCTGAACATCATTGGCTGTGCTGGAGACTTTCAAATTGTTTTTATATAGAAAGGTTTTCTCTCTAAGGATAGTTCTTCCACTAAGATCAGAGTAGGATTTCTCACACTGGTAATATCTGTAGGGTTTCCCTCCCTTTGTCCTTGCCTGTTGCTGAAAGGACTGGAAATTACAGCACATTCTTTCATGTTTGTTACAGTTATGCAGCTTCTCTTCTGATCCCAAATACTCACACGGCCTCGGTGTGATGTGAGCTATGATGGGCACATTTAGGGACAAAGGCCCAATTTGGGGCTTTCTGGAAGCAATGCTTTCAGCTGATTTTAAACTATCTTGTTTCATATCCACAGTAGCATTTGGAGTCCAAAGGAGTATTTCCTTATATTGATTCCAAGCTTTATTTCTATAAAGGAGAAAAAAAGGTCACAATAAAACTGATCTCCATATTAATGATTTACCAGAAGAAGGTCTGTTATCACGCCTGCTAAGAAATTCTGACAATGAATTAACTGGATGCCCTGGAGGACTCCTTCCAAACAGTCATTCCCAAAAGAGTTATTCATAGGGGAATTTTTAAGATGGTGTATTTTACAATATCGTCATCTTCATTTTACTCTGAGCAACTATATGTGTGTATATCACACACTGATCATTTAAATACCTTTTACCCATTACTCTCCCCCTTTTTCTCCCTACCTTGTTTATATTTTCATCTCCAAAAAGTCAGCCTTTCCTTTTCCTATCACTTCTCCTTGTTTTTACTCCCTAACTTATATTTTTGGTTTCCTGTATAGGAGAAAATGTGCCATTTCACATACTGGGCCTGACTTATTTCACTTAACGTAATGGAATGAAGACTCACCCATTTCTTTTGGCAAATGATATACCATTCATTATTACAGCTGATTATATATTAGATTTTCTTTTTCTTTCAGTGTTGGGAATTACACACAGGTCTTAGCATTAAGTTACATCAGCTTTTTTATTTCTCACCTTGAGATAGAGTCACATGGGTGATTAAGTTACTCGGGCTGAGCTTCAACTTGCCAGCCTGCTGAATCAGCTTCCAGACTACATGGTTTACAAGAATGCACCATCGCACTGAGCCTACCAAAAACTTTCCTTGTCCATGGATCTGATGATGGACATCTAGGTTGCTTCTAGGGCTCAGCTGACATAAATTGACCTGGTTTCAGTATAGCTGCACAACTATGAGGATAATATGATGATTTTAAGCCTTTGGGAAATATACCCAGGAAGAGTATACCTGGATCAAATGGAAGTTTTAGTTTTACATTTTGAGGCATTTGTATAACTGATGATCACAGTCACTGTATTTAACATTTCCACCACCAATGTCAGAGGGTGCCTTCTAAGAATTTTAAAACATATACAGATGTAATTCGCTGCATGATGGCATGAAAATATCAGTTTACTACAATGCTACATTCATTTTCATTTTGACTACTATTTCAAGTTTAGCAATTTTTAGATCCTAATGTCTCATAATTATATAGAAAAATAGATTTCCTGAAGATTTGTTCTTGTTAAAACTCAAAACTGATTATTTTTATATACACAATAACTAAGTACAATTCCTAATGTTGATCATGAAAGAGTAATTTTTATACTTATAAGCCATATACTGTCACTTGTTGCATGGTATCAGTAGTAACTCAGTTTCCCGTATTGGAATAATCTTTATTCAGTTGTCAGATTACACACACTTAATCTGAATACATCTTTGGAGAGTACTTGTGAAATTAAATAAAGTTGAACATGACCTCATTCTTTTGACTGACGTGCTTCTGCTCACACACTAATACTTTTTTCACATGACTGCAAATTACCTTAGATTTCTCCAGTGATTTTTGTACTCTTCTTCAGCTTCCCAGTTATTCCAGGCTTTTCCTAAATTGTAGACATAGAAATATAAGGAGTCACTATATTATTACATAAAAATTAATAGATTCCTGTTAGATTCATGATATAAAGTAACCAGGATGAAGATATTCTTTAAAATGTTTCACATTCTATTTAATTAAACTGCACTGATGAGCAACAAACAATATCTTCGCATTGGATAAATGAGAAAGAGATGTCCCCCTTACCTACAGCAGCCATGTTCCTAAAGGTTTCCCTCATCACATTTCTGTAGAGCTTCTTTTGTGAAGGGTATAACAAAGCCCACTCTTCCATGGTGAAGCACACAGCCACATCCTCAAAGGTCACTGCCTCCTAAATGATCAAACACACATATATGCGATGAAAAACAATGCTGAGACTCACAGGCAGGGATCTATCAACTCCTTTCATAAAAAGCTGAATTGATATCCAAGTGTGGTAGTGCATGTATATAATCCAAAGAAAACACTGTAAGGTCCTGAACCACGTGACCAATGAAGTGGGTGAGAAGGCACTTTGCCCTTCATTCACATCTCAGCACTGTAAACAATAGTGAGACAGAAACAATCTCTTAAAGTATGTCTCGGCAATTTCTGTAATATTCACCTACTGAAAATTCCAAGGGAGGAAACTAAAATAACACTGTGTATAGAAAAATACACACGGTAAACTTAGGAAAAGTCACGAAAGTGGGATAGTGGTCATCCATGGGGCGAGAGAGGTTTGTATCAGATAGGTTATCAATCACCTGAATTTCTCCACTGTCCCAAGCCCAATGATGAAATTTTTTAATATTCCCAGGATGTTTACATTGCTGGACATAGTGGTGCGTATCTGTAACCCCAGGAATTTGGAGAGGCTGAGGTAAGAGGATCATCGTGAGTTTGAGGCCAGCTTAAGCTACATAATTGAGTATAAGGCTGGTCTGGATTGCATAGTGTGACTCAAAAACAGCAGTAACAACAAACCCAAAGATATTACATTGTTATTATTGTTAAATTCACCAGCAATTTTGAAAATAAAATTTCAAAATATTTAAATACTAAATCTCCACTAAGAAAGTGCACATTAACTTATACCTATATGTCTGAATTTGTATGTAAAAAAATGAGATGTCTCATTGCTGTCCAAGAGACACACTGGACAGCACTAATCAAAGCAGCACATCTGCACACAGGAGACTCACAGACCCCCTAACAAGCAGTGGTCCAACTCTGCATTGTCCATCAGAACAGATCAGACTGTCCAGAGAAAAGGGAACAGACACCAGATCTGATCAAGGTCCAGACATCTGAGTCACGGATCTAATGCTGGACAGGAGTGGTTATTATACTGGCACTGATGAAGACAGATTAAATAGAAGCCCATGCAACAGGAAACAGCAGTCTACCACTGACTGAGCAGAAGCTACACTAATTTTACATTATTCAAATTATACCTCAAAGTAAACAATAAATACAGTGATCAGATGATAAAAAAGCAGTTCTCTAAGAAGAATAGTCCTCGATACATATTCTACATGAATGTCAAGAGAAATATTATCGATTCACAGTTAACTATACCATTATTTATTTCCTTCCCTTTTTTTTTTGGTCCTGGGGATCAAACTCATGACCTCACACTTGCTAAGTGTTTATGCCACTGAGCTAAATCCCCAGCCCTCCAGTCATTTCTATCGAGCACCCTGAAGCAATGAATGCATCAGTGTTTCAAATTCAGGGAAAACAGCAGAACTATTCTTTAAAGTCAGTTAGGCTTTTTAACATAGATTTTTTTATGGAGACACTCGGAACTCTCCAGATCATTTTTTTGCCACAGAGCTGAATAGCACTCTCTAGGTCCCACTGCCATGCACAATAGAAGCCTCAAAGAAGAACACTCTAGAAATTGTTAATGCAGAGATCCATTCACTGCTGTGTTCAGCCCTGCTGTGTTCTCCTTGTTGAGTATATATGCAGAAGTTGGAGATCTATCTGGTAAAGTTACCAAATGCACAACTATTCATTGCCTTCAGTCATTTCTACAGATCTCAATGAGAAACTGAATATATTAAAGTTCAGTGCAAACAGCAGAACAATTCTCAAAAGACAGGTGTGTTTTTAATATAGTTGCTTAGCAGTAAAATACTCAAAACATTCCAGGCTAATTCAGTGGCATAGACTACACAGCACTTTAGACCAAAAGTTCCTGGCATAGTAGAGGCCATAGACAGGTGTATGCAACAATCAGTGATGCAGAGAGCCAGGGACTTTTATGTGTTTATCCCTGCTGCATTCCCTTTAGTGGGTTTATACCCAGGTACTGTGAGTACTATCTGGTTGCATTACAAACTACAACATTACTCATTTTCTTCCTTTCATTTCTCTGAGGCATTATAAAGTATTGTGTAAATTAGTATTCAAACTTCAAAGCAAACAGCAGAAAAATTCTTAAAAATCAGTTAGGCTGCTAAGTAGCTTTTATTAGTGAAACACTCAGAATGTTTCAGGAGGGCTGTTTTCCACACAGCTGTACAACACTTCATAGGGCAAACTGCCACAAACACTAAAAGCCTCGTAGCTGTGCAGTGTGAGAAACAGTAATGCAGAGCCAGGCACTCCTGCGAGTTCAGACCTTGTGTATTCCCTTTGGTGAGTTTATATCTAAACGCCTCAAGTTGTAGCTTATACCAATTATAAACTGCACCACTGTTTATATCCTTTCATTCATTTCTGTGGAGCACTATCAAGCAATAAATATATTAGTGTTCAAACTGCAATGCAAACAGCAGAAGGTGTGAAGGGTATAACAAAGCCCACTCTTCCATGGTGAAGCACACAGCCACATCCTCAAAGGTCACTGCCTCCTAAATGATCAAACACACATATATGTGTGTGTTTGATTCAGTGAGGCTTCTAACATAAGATTGTTATTAGTGACACACTAAGAATTCTCCAAGCCATTTCTATCCACAGAGTTGCACAGAACTTCTTAGGCCAAACTGTCATGCAGGATGGAATTTGGTGCACTCTGCAAATACATCATGTAGACATGAGATAGTCCCCTGAGTTCAGCCATGCTTCCTTGATTTTACTGAGTTTGTATCCAAGCACTTTTCACTCTAGCTGATTACAGTTACAAACTGAACTCCTATTCATTTTCCTATTCATTTCTTAGGTGTGTTTGAAGCTAAGAATACATTAGCTTCAAATCTCAGTGCAAACATCAGAACCATTCTGAAATATCAGGCCTCTGCTCTAAAATTTTATCCATCATTTTCCTAACCACTTTCTGTTTTTTATATCTGTCTACTGTAGACTTGTTGAGTAGGTCCTTCATTATGATCATTATCTCTTTTTTTTTAAACTTGGGAGTTTATTTCTGATGTTATTCTCTATAGTCTCTATTTTTTACTTCTGCTTTTATCATTTCAGAAATTTCAGATGGACGGCCACCATTTTTCTCTACCTCACTGGACCTTAATCTATCCCTAGGTGAGTTAGATCTCTAGGACTGGGTTTTCCTTCCACATCTTGTCATTTTCAATTATTTTATTTTATTTTTTCTTATTGATATTTGTAAATTTCCTATAGTAGGCTGCTTTAGCACTAGTACCTGGGCCTTTCTAGGAAATCTCTGTTTTTCAAAGGTTTCTTCTCTACGTAGGAGTTTCTTAGTTTTTGTGTCTGTCCCAAGATCCTAATCTCCCATTTTATTAAGGATGAGATGTTGCTATCTATTTAGCTTGGCACCTAGTCCTTTGGTACTGCGCTATAGTGATATGGTTATGACTCCAGAGAGTCACAGTGTTGTCACAGAAGGAAGGGAGAACAACTGATTACAAAAGGTATGACATTCATTAATGCCCAATCTAGGAGATATGGAATCTATCACACATTCAAACAAATAACCAGGAAATTGAAAATTCCATTGAAAGTTTACAAAACTGCATGAATGAAAGTGAAGAATTTCAAAATTAGAAGACAGGATTGCAGCTAAAGATCACAAAAAGAAAAAGATCTCTTAAGAGATTATGAGAAACCAATCCAACAGCTACAAGATGATGCAAAAAAGAATAACACAAGATGGCTGGGAGTCATTGCAAAAGCAGGAGACAGCACAAGTGATGTAAAAAATGGTTGCTAAAAGTAATGGCAGAAAACTTCCCAATCATGGAAAAAGAATTTGACATATAGATACATGAGGTATATAAACTCCAACTAACCATGACCAAAATGAATCTACATCAAGGCATAGAATACCCAAGATTCCAGAAATCCAGCATGAGAACAGAATATTAAAAAGTTTTAGAGAAAATTCACAAATCGCTTATGAAAGAAAGCCCATCAGAATTACACCAGACTTCTTAACACAAACTCTTAAGTCAAGGAGAGCTCAGAGTGAAGTACTCCAAAGTCCTGAAAAAAATAATTTCCAGAGCAGACTGACGTACTCTGCAAAACTGTCTTTCAGAGTCAGTGGTGAAATAAGATACCTAAATGACAAGAGCAACTAAAAAAATTTGTGACCACCAAACCAGCTTTACAATGTATGCTGAAAGCTATTCTAGAGACAGATAACAAGGTACACAATTCTACTAATGCCAACAGAAAGAAGCCAGTAGACAGGAAAAACAATTTAAAAAGGCAAAAACAAAGAATCAACAGCAGACAATAATATGACAAGAATAAGCCAACACATGTCAGTTTTAACCTTCAGTGAAAAAACCATTTCATTTCACCACTAGAAGAAACAGATTAGCAGAATGGATCAAGAAACAAGATCCAACCATATGCTGCATTCAATAAACATATTTTACTCAAATAGATTCATATACTCAACATCAAAGAATGGAAAACAATATTCTATGCCACAAAATTATACAAAAAGCAGAGGTAGCTATTCTATTTACAGACAATATGAACTTAAAGCTGAAACAGATCATAAGTGCTAAGATTAAGGGAAGACTCCAACAAGAAGAGATAAGTCATAAATACATATGCACCGAATATAAAAACACACAACTAAATAAAACAATTATTGGGCTGGGGATTTAGCTTAGGGGTGTAAGCACCTGCCCTGGCAAGCACAAGGTTGTGAGTTCGATCCCTGGTACCAAAACAAACAAGCAAACAAAAAACAACCATTATGGGACATAAAATATTAAGTAAGCACTAACACAATTGTAATGGGGGATTTAAAACCCTTCCTCAATGAATAGATATATCAAATACACAAAATTATCAACAAAGAAATATCAGAACTGAACTAAACTTGTAAGTATTTAGATTTAGTAGATGTCTATATAGTGTTTCACCGCACAACTTTGAAATGCACATTCTTCTGTTTTGAAT